ATGAATACCATAGCCATAAGCACCGACAACAACTTTTATAGTTACCACTTATCTGTGAAACACCCATAAGCCTGAATGCATGTTGTAGTGCTTGGCTGATCTAATGATTGCATAGCATTTTGTACTTTAACCTTATTAAGTTTATCTTCATATATCTTTAATGAACTATCACACATGTCAGCTGCAATATGGACTAGAACCAGAAAAAAAAGCAGCAGGATGCTCTGAATTATCATTACAATGTCAAGAACAAAGGGTTCGAGCAATTTCTGTCACTTATACCAGTTAATTTGGGCTGTGGCACTCGCAGCCATGAACTTTAACTGGACAAAGGATAAAAAAGGCAGTTCAGTCTTCATAAGTGTAAAAAAAAAGCTGAGAATAATCTTGTTTCTGCATGGAAAAGCAGGGCGATTTGATATGACTCTTTGAGTTTTAGACACCACATAACACAAGCTGACTGTGTGCGTCCCTCTTCCCCCCTCTCTTCCTCCTCTTTTTCTGCCTCACTACACACTATCATCTCCTTAAGCATTCTGGTCTGGGTTAAATGAAACCTTTAACAGTTCAATGTGCATCCATTAACATATGCTTGAGTCTACTCACAGCCAAGCTAAAGCGTAAGCATGCAGTGGCAAAAACAAACAAAAAAAACCTCGATCCGATGGCACGGACAAATCCCGGAGTGATTAGCGAGTCCACAAAAACACTAAGTCTCTAATGCCTTCTAACATTACCGAATGAACCAGATTTCATAACACCTTGAAGAAAAACAACAAATGTGAACGAAATCTATCCTACTGCGACACTCTAAGCTAATATAAGAGCACAAACACTGTTTATTTCATAATAAATGCATTTAGGTTTTAGAATATATTGACTTTACAGTTTCTACTAACGGTAAACATGAATGTATGAATACAGCTGTCAGAAATGACTATCTCGAGCATGAGTGCCGATCCTAACTGAACAAAATCAAGACATGACAACTATGCACTTACAGAGTAAACACGCTGAGTTTAAACTCATGTTCCCAGTGGCCTACATTGCATTGACTGGTGTGCTGATATTAACGTGCTACTGAGGAACTGAGCTCAGTTATTGTTTGCTGATGTGTGTTGCTGTGACTCCGTCAACCCGTTCTGTCTCTATGTGAAGTGACAGATGTATACCAAAAGACCAGAGTCTGCACAGACCTAGTTTCCTACTGGCCCTGATGCGACCTCTAAGCAACACTGTTTTGTGTGGTGACGATTGGCTAAAACTGTAAAATAGGAGGAAAATTTGGTGTGCAGTCGTCTCCAAATTTAAAAATAGCAAACCCAAGACACATTTTTCCACTTGTAAATTACAGATAAGGAAATTCATTTTAGCGGTGTACAATACATTTAGTCTGGTCGAAAATGTTTCAGGGAAGCGTGCCTCCTAGATTATCTTCAGAAAACTCTTTTCGATTGAAGGTAGTGATGTGTGATTTGCACTGAGGTACACTTGTGAAAAATTAAGACTAAGATGCTGTAACTTCAATGAGATGTTGGCAAAATAAGCTTTGTCTTGCTGTGTGCTTTCAGAGAGTTCTTCCTTCCCTGTGTCGCAAAGTATTTTCTCATATGGGATCATGTGATCTTTGGAGTTCTCTCTCCAGTACAACAGAGTCTTTACCTTACAGTATATAGCACCTTAAAACAACTGCTGCTACCAGAGTAAGAAAGTAAAATCTGAACTGAATTGAATCGAATGAATCATTTTTTGAGTGTTTTTTTAACTATATATTTGATGAGGAACACAATCTTTTACATAACATGGATCAAATTCCTGAACAACCAACACGAGTTCCTTTTTCACTCTTCTGTGACAGGAAATATTGTGGAAAGCAAATGAAAGTTGTTACTTAGTGTGAGAAATTTACAACTATACGCTCTACTGATTAGAACAATGATATGAATATAAAAATATATAGGTATGACCGAGCCACTGTGTACAGATACACATCGCTGATTTATGTCAGTTTAGTGATGTTTCATTACATAATTTGCTCATATCTGAATAAATATTCCTGGGTCTTGGTGTTTTATATTTTTAAAACTGGAAACAGTTGTTGGTTATTGTGAAAAGTTTGCAGTACGATGTTGTAAAACAGAAACAAATGCTGAGGAAAACTAAAGTCTGCTCCGACATTAATCATGTTTGATAACATGATAAAGACCTTTTCTCCAGCATCCCCCTTTCCATCCCAAGCTAAAAGCTAAAAATAAACATGCACAGAGTGATACTAAGAGCCAATTGAGGCGCTTCACTGTATATTTACACAGCTTATTAGTGTCCAATTGAGCATGTGTCAGATTTCCCCCCCTGGCATAGCTAAGCAAAAACAACATTATGCCATTTCCCCAATTTTCTCTCTTCATAACTGGAATGTTTTTCCTATTCCATTTAGGATAGACACTTTTGTAAGAGCACTTTAAAAGCTCAAGCACCACTGGAGTGAACTCTACAGCAGATTTTACTCTCTACAGTGCTGAATTGTTTATATCTCTTGTAGATGAGCTTGCAAATGTGTCCTCAAATTGGAAAACAGCAATTCAGAGCAAAATGGAGTTTGTACAGTAGATACTATTCATAAATGATCACTGAAAAGCTGTGCAAATAGCCAGGAGCTGCAATCTTTAAATACATTTTCTATTAAGAGCCAATGCAAATATAGTGCATGCAAACGACACCTGCACAGACGTGTATCAGTTTTTGAAAATTAATGAAAGGCCGTGATGTGTATCGAGAAGCACTGATCAGGTCACCTGAACAGAGTGCAGTGTTTGTCAAGCCCAAAGCCCACACTGCAGCAACACTCATTACCCAGGTCTCCATAGAGACAACCTCAGCAGCCTGTACCGGACCAGAGCTCTAAAAGCCTTTATTTCGTAAAGCTTCATCTCTCCATCCACAAGAGGTGTAAAAATGTACGATTCGGATGGAAATGGCTCGTTAAGTGCAGTCTTTGCAGGTCTGTCCACTGAAAACAAATGCACGGCAGAAACAATAGCATCTAACATCACCACTCACAGCCTTTTAATTCTGTGTACTGTCAATTTTAGCATGGCACAGGAAAAATACAGGGATCATCATAATGAACACTGGTCAATTCTACTTTCCGACACAAAAACGACGCTCAGATCTCTGAATGAGAAGAAAAGGTCAGCGTCAGACGATTCAAGTCTGCTGATACAAATGGTACCGCATCAGCAGCAGCCTCGAACGTAGCATTCATCACAATTACAAGTGCTGTTGCTGCCATTCAAAGTTTCCATGTAGATGTCTCTAGTAGCAGCCATTTTGCAACACTGTTGCCTGGACCAAAGAGACTGAAAAAAGCCATTCACAAGCAAGCTAAGCCATGAATCTCGCTCTGCAAACGGGGATTTCAGTACAGCGTTTAGTTAGATTTCAAATGAACACCAGTGTCCTCTCGTGTTCTTGGAAATTCTCTCGTCTCGGCTGCAGCAAAAAGAGAATTTGCTTTGAATCCATTCTCCCCTATAAATAAACCCTGCCTTCACAGAACCCTTCACATTGGCAACAAAATGGTTTTCCTGTCATCTTTGCTTGATGCATCATCGTCTACTCTCAGTCCACATTGTGTCCAGTCTTATTTTTTTAACCCCTTTGCTTCCACGTATCTTTCAAAAGATCTTCAAAATAGCTCAATTTTCTTTCGAGACGATTTCTGCCCCCCAACATGCGCACATCCCGTCCTATACCCCACAGCCCCGTGTCCCTCACCACCCCCCTTTTCCAATTCCTGTGTTCGCTGTAAAAAAAAAATCAGTTACCCCCACTCCAAAGAAAGATACAACTACCACTTATCAAGCCAATCTTTTGAGGAATTCACTGTATACAAAACGGGATGTGGATGCATTTTGCGAGATGTGCATTTGGGCAAGGGTGATAAGGGCTTGTCTCTTTTTTTTCCCCCCAATTCAAAATGACTCCATGTCTGTGCTTCTAATATGGCGGGTGCAATGCCGGAAAAAAAAAAGAAACACACACACACAAAACAACTGGCCAACCTTTTCATTCTTTTTCAAGGAGACAATTAATAGATCTGAGAGAAAGCACACAAACATGCAGTTACATGTGCAAAGCATTTTGTTAATTTTTTTTACTTTAAATAAATTACAGAATGAAAGTAAATATCTGACATATTCACCAGCTCATTTCTTGGTTCATGAGTAGATTTTTGAATAGAAAATCATTGTGAATGTCAATAAAGAAATTATTTCATGCAAATAACGGTTTTTGTTTGAATGCCTCTCAAAAGCAGAATAGAGATTAAAACAACCAAAGGCTGATTGCACCAAGTAACACACAACTGTGTTCCCACAAAATGATTTACTAAAATATTACTTTCATAATTTATACAAATAGAAATCTGATTTATAAACAGTGCAGATCCGGCACCTAAAAATGATGTATGAAAATGCAGCCAAACTGAGGCCCAGCTTAGCTTCAAGAGAGGGAATAAATAATCCTTTCTGTACAAATTTAAAATGAAAACTGATAATTGTTCCAATTATTTTGACCCTAAATTTTACTAAAAAAAATCATTGTAGAAAAAAGAAAATAGAAATATTCCTGTAAAGAGCCTCGTTCTTCATGCAGTACAGGCTGCACCTATCCACAACCTACATTTCTCCCCTCTCTCTGCTTCTCTATCTGCACAAGGTTATTGTTAAATATCGAAGATGTATGAGGGGATAAAACATTTTCACTTTATTAAAGGTTACTGTGCAAGTAAATATCAACCTCCCACCAAAAGCCCCACTGTCAGTGACAGGACATAGCAACAGCCTGTTCTACCCATCGTTTTCCCGGGACAAAATATAAATAAATATTATCCTCAAAGTAGAAATGGTTCCAGACCACCCCGCGTATTAATTACAGCTTGGTTCTGTTCGATAATCAGCATAAACTTTAAGTTCGATGTGCGCAAAAGCATCACTTACCATTCAAGATGCACTGGAAAAAGAAAAGAGCCAATATCCACATGCCCCGCTCCGTTCAATATCCAAGCTTATGCTTTTTTCTTCTTCTCTCCACGCACTCTTTCTTCTTATTATTTCCCCCCTTTTTTATTTTTTCCCAAGTCAATTGCAATATAAGAAAAGGGAGCCTGCAAATCTCTCTCTCCCTCTGGCGCGCTCTCTCTCCCTCTCTCTCTCTCAATCCTTCACGTTGGGAAGAAGATGAAGAGGAGGAGGTTTGAGCTTTTTCCTGCTGCTGATTGTCTCCTGGTACAACGGGAGATGGTATATGATCCACAACTGTGCGTCTCACCCCTCCTTTCTTTTTCTTTTTTTTAGGACTGACCGCACCGTGCCGGGCCTCAGTGCAGCCGTCCCCCCGTACCGGAGTGCTGCTCTGTGTGGAACATGAGGGAGCTCGGCTCGGTGCGCTCCGGACCAGGTGAGCTGTGCTGCTGCTGAGTCAGAGGCTCAAAAGCACAGGACGCACTGCCTATGCGCACACCGAAATCCACGGATAGAAAATTAAAACATCAAAGAAAAAATATATTAAAAACATAAAAAATAAGAACCAAAAAAGCCTCCAATAATGAAAAGAATCAATAAAGAATGAATGAATTAGAAGTCTATGCCCTGAAAAGAGGCAAACGTGTCATCTCAGGTATGTGCGGGGAAAAAAATGCGTAAAAAGTTGGAATTTCTGTCGAGGATTAAAAAGCGCATGGAGTTGACTGTTAGCTGCGCTGGAAACTCATTCTCTCTTCGCCACCTCTCTCCATCCGGCGAGCAACAAGCACACGCATCTTCCCCCCGCAGCCGCACACACAAACTGCGCACACTGGTCCCTGCGCTTATAACCTGCCCTGCCTCAGAGCACCGTGGAATAAAACCTCGCTTCCTTCTCCGCAGCCGCTTTCCTCCCTCTCCATTGCCTTAAAGGTGCAGGGGTGGGGGTGGTGGGGGGCACAGCTGAGCCTCTGGCGTAAAAAAAGAAAAATCAGAAAGAAAGAAAAAAAAAAGGGGGGGGGGGATACAAAAAAAAGAAACCCTTTCTTTTGTTTTATGACGGATCAAGGTGCCACGCAGGGTGAACTGTGCATTAACGCAAGCAAAAAAATATAAATAAATAAATATTAGCTCAGGCAGGACATCCTTCTATGGTTTGTTGCCACTGTTGTGGTGTAGCAGGCTGCAGGATGGAGGCTGAAGGAGGGAGGGAGGCAGGGAGAAACAGTGATGTAGGCTACACCTGACTGGGTGCTATGTAGGCATTTGGTTAAGGGAAAAAAATCTAAATTATCTTAATTGGAGGAGATCAAATCGTGTCCTTAAATGTGTCTTCTGGGTAATTTATGAGCCCCGGGGGCATTTTGGGGACCCTGCCAGCTTTACCCCGGCATTCATTAATTGACCTTGACAAATATAAGTAGCGACCCCCCTAATGCACCAGGGGGTATCAAACAGCGGCCATGTTAGACATCCACAGCCCCCTGCATGAGTTCACCTCCATTCAAACCACAGCGGAGGAGGAGGAGACTGAGAATTAAGTTGTGAAACTGCTACTGGATGAAGACAAGCATATAGAGAAGTGTAAAGCCACATTTTTTAAATGATTAGCGTTGATATTTCTCTCAACATTTTATAATTTGTAATTAGCGTGTAGTTGTAAAAAGGAAGAACACACCTGAAAAACAACCTTATTTGTTTTTTTATACCAGCCTGAGACACAAAGATTCAGACGCTTCCTTTTAAACCTTTAGTGAGCAAACAGCAGTGCTGTATTGAAATAATTTTGGAAGCTATGACACTGCTGTCATGTGACTGTTTGGATTTAGTGAATTTATGTTCAACGGCGACTCGAGCTTTAGCCCACAGCCTAGATGCAGTATCTGTCTTTAGGACTTAGCATCCACATCAGACCTGCATGTGAACATGCGCTGCGCCAGGAATACAGGACCTGTCAACGCACGTCTGGCCCCTCCATGCGCTTCCAGCCAGGCATCCCCAAAATAAAACTGATCATTATCACTGACTGAAGCTACCCAAAATAAGATAGCAGGAAGGAAACATGCAGACACTGTGCACAAAGTATTTTGTTTGTATGTATGTGTGGATTTTGCCTAATCCCCTTCTCTGTCAATCTCCTTGACTCCCAGCAGTGAGGGGGGGTTGTTGATCATTCAGTTATGGCATTTTGTTCCCTGGTATACGCATGTCTCATCTTCTTCTGTCTGCCTTTGTATAGCACTGGTCTGCAGTCGGGGACTCTATATATCTTGCCCCAGTTGCAGGCAGCTACCTACTCTGACTGCTAGCAAATTTGAGGCTAAACTGGCTCACACATCAGTACCTGTAGTATCTATGCTATCTATACTAACTATTAAATGCAGACTTAGGGGTTTGTATCTAGTATGGCTAAGCTACATTGTGCTGAATTGCTAAAATTTTCCTGTATCGCACCTTATGACAAACTTCTAAGCAAATTCAATTCAAACAGACATTTTTAATAACTGCTGTCCGAGAAGCAAGAAATCAAAACCACCAAACAGTTGTATTGTGCTAATAACATGTTTACAACTGGAATAAATAGGTTGGTTATTGAGAAAACATGTTAACTCAAGAGCATCAATTAATTTGGCATCAGCCCATTTCCCCACTGGTTTTGTTGATTCATTACCTTTTATGCCTTGTTATGGATAATCATTCAGCCATATGTTAAATGATTGTCTTCAGTGTTCATCCCAGTGGACGGGGTTCAGAGATTGGATTAAAATCACTGGCTGTATGGTCATACAGAGCTCAATCCTTATTTCTCTAATCCCTGCATTAACTCCATGATATGTTGTGAGGTTTGGATCAAATCAAAGGTTTTATCCTCTTTAAACCATGTTGTTATTTAACTGCACTGATTCTTTAATCAAATGCAAATATTTTAAAATATTTTTAATGTCTAAAACATTAAGAATTTAGTGATGGAAACAGATACTGGAAACAATTAATACATTTATTAAGCATTATGATCTGCAACACGATGTGTTATGATGCTACTGTAGATAATGAAAATGACTAAACATTTGACAAGCAACTACTGGTTTTGCTTTCCCAGTGTTTGGACATTAGATTTGAAATTAACAATATTAATACCATTCATACCAGTACAATCCTACTTCAAACCTGTAATATATGAACAACTGGTCAAGACCCCTTGAAATACTAGTCAGTTAAATGCTTTATTCTTATTTTATTAACGCACTGCAGCATTACCGTTACCGCTTCAAAGTTATCTGGGCCCTGACGGTAAGCCGTGCCCCTCTCACTTTCATTCTTTCTGTGGAAGTAGTAAATGAGTGACGGGGAAAGTAAACAAATGACAGCCATATAATGCTGTACTGCTGTACTTTGTTTAAAAAATAACAGCGAGAGCAGCTATACGTCAGGGGAAACAGTGAATGTGTGCATTGTACTGAAAACAGGATTTTTTTGCCACGTGAAAGGTTTGGCTCGTTGTGACATTATCTTTTCCCCCAAAATTAAAATCAAGATTTTGACACATTAGAAGAAATCTTGTATGCATTGCAGAGCTAAAGCACAAGGAGACAGAGCAGGTCGTTCATCAAGTGTTCTAAAAATAGTAGCAGTGTTGGAAGCCGACTGGATATACACAAGAAAATGATCTTGAACCATGATAATTAGTCAGTTTACTATTTCAGTTTACGTAGAGCACCCATTTATTAATTTATTTTTATTTTATGTTTTTTTTT